GACAGGCGGCTCCGCTAGTCCCCGTGCGGGGCACTGCCGTGGCTAGGGCCATTGGGGCATGGGGCGAGCTTCAATTTCCGACCATTCGGCCGGGAAAGAGGCACATCCCCTGTGCGCCCCGGATCGGAGCCCCTACCTGGGTCTCCTTAAGGTCTCCGCTTGTGCGGATTCCCCCCCCCTTGGCCGCGCGTGGGCGAAACGACTTCGGGAGCGTCCCGAAGATGCGTCCGCCATTCGCGAAGTCCAAACCGGAAGCCCTGAGTTCTGTACCAGTTGAAGCTTTCAAAAGCAGTCCCCATACATAACATTTTTTAACGGTCCAACTGGATGTGGTCAAAATATGGACAGGTGGCCAAATTGTGCCTATCCAGGAGACGCCGCAGCTGGCATACCAACAGAATTTGGGCAAAGGTACCCCACATGCCACAGAAGACGCTTGCAGTTTCACAGTATCCCAAAGCTGTATCGTAGCCTGGTGGGCAGGTTGCAGCACAGGGGAAAGCCAGGTTTAGCAGTTAGATCAGGGTAGGCAATATCTGGCACCCATGCCAAACATCAATACCCAAGACAGCTTTACTTGGCATACAGTCTGTAGCCTAAGCAGCTGAGGTAGGCTTCACAGACTGGTACAGCTGCTGCCCAGGTCATAGGCATGCTTCCTAGAGTTCTCACAGCCACACTGGGACTCAGTTCACTTTCAGTGCGCCTGTCCAAGTACAACCCTTGCTGTTCCCTCTCCCGCTTTGTTCGGTGGCACACCACCATCTTCATAAATAGACATTCTGTGGGTTTTTTTAAAAAAAAAAACCTTCAAGCCTAAGAGGTTGCCTACCCATGGGTTACAGCATCAGACTAGGATTGGAGAGTCCCTGATTCAAATCCCCACTTTGCTATGAAACAGTCTGGACAAGCTTGTGTCAGTCACTCTCCCAGCCTAACAACATTATGAGGATGAAAGTGAAAAAGTGAGGACATTGTATGCTCCCCTAAACTCCTTGCAGGAACAGAGTGGGATACAAATGAGATAATGAGCTGCATCCAATGATGAACAAATGCAAGGCACTATTGGAGGTGGCTCTTTCTGTGCCTTCCTCTTCTTTCAGAAACCCCCAAAATCTAATGCTAGCCATGGGTGTGTGTGGGTGTGTGTAAATCTCACAGACAGATGCCACGGGATGTTGCAATGAGGAGGGACAGCAGGACAAAACAGACCCCCTACTCTTTCCACAAAGAAGAGGGTAGAGAGAGTTTTCCACTGGGCTGAAAGGACATGTGATTTTGCCCGACTCCCAGCCCTCATTGCAGTAGTTAGTGTGTCAGACTAGGACCTGGGAGGTCCAGCCTCGAATCCCCACTCTGCCACGGAAGCTTGCTGGGTGACCTTGGGCCACTCACACATCCTCAGCCTAACCTCCCTTGCAGGGTTGTTTTGAGGATAAAATGGAGGATAGGAGAACAAGGTAAGCTGCTTGGGTCCCAACTGGAGAGAAAGGTGGGATATAAGTGAAGCAAATAAAGTCAATGATGTGGGCTAGGAGATGTCCACGAAAACTCTCCCAACTCACACCCTTGGCTTTTTGGTTGGGTGGGGAGGCCCTGGACACTCCTGGGGAGGGGGAAAAGGCACAGAAAGAGGCACTGGCATAACTGCCTTAAGCTCACACATCCCAGGCACTAAGCCTAAGTGAAAGGTAAGAGATTCTCTGGAGAGGGGACGGTTATCCTTGTATGGTCAAGGATTTTCCTGCATGTATTGCCACATGCGGAAGGGGTTCACTAGGCACTAAGCCTAAGTGAAAGGTAAGAGAGTCTCTGGAGAGGGCACGGTTATCTTTGTATGGTCAAGGAATTTTCCTGCATGTATTGCCACATGCAGAAGGGGTTCACCGGCACTCATATGCATACCGTCCTCTCTACACATTGTAAAGGTGATGATTCTTTCTCAAGCTCTGCAAATTGAAATAAAACCAGTCTTGGCATAGTTGGAAGATTTCCCTGGCATAACCTTTTGTTCCATTCTGCCTCTACCACTAAACAGCGTTCTTTGACTCTGAAATACCTGCCACTCCTCGTATCATTCTGTCGCATGTTCTTGATGAAATGAACCTTCTTAAAGTTCTTTGGTCTGGGTGAACCTGACAGAGTCCGGCATCTGAAAAACAGCGATAGGTACATTTAGGATCTCTACAGCACAGCTGAAAAATCCCAACAAAGGCAAGAAAGAAAGACCAGACAGATCACCACTCTACATCTCTTCTGAAGCATGCAGACTTCAAATACATAAAACAAGAAACCAACAAATACCAGAAAGGAAAAAAGAACATCCTGTTACAAATCTTCCAAGAAAATAGCATTCACCTATCAAAAGCGTTCTCTATGTCAGTACAGTTTGGAAAAAACTGTGTCGGGTTTAGTAGACACTGCAGAATAGACAAAAGTTGCTTACTAAAAAAATGTAAGATCTTTTCTAAAACATTTCTGCTTCCTCTTTTTCCTTCTCTCTATGCTCTATATACATGCAGGAGACAGAGGGGGTAGAAATAATTGCATCGTTTCAGGCGGTAGGAGCGGGTTCTGGTTTAGAATCCTGCTTTGCATAAAAGTCTCCCAGCAAATAGAAAGACAGCTTGGCAGTTCTACTTCTTCTCCAAGCAGTGGCTGGTGGGGAAGGGTGAAGTGCAGGGAGTATCGCGGCTGCCACCACTGCTGAAGGAAGAGGGGAAGGCGACTGCCATGAAAAGCAGTGAAGTAGCTTCTGGGGTCACACATGCAGCGTCTTTCTGGTGTGCAGTGGAACCCAGCACGAGCTTGTGACATCAGCAGATTCCACTAACCACTCAGCAGCTGCATACTTATACAGTGCTGCAGCCACAACCTCAGCAGTTCCATTCTTGCCTTCTAGTCTGCCAGAAACAGTATCACCTTGCCTTCACCCTTCAGTGGTGAAAGCTGGGTTTTTTCCTGTCCCCCAGCCCATAAGTTGCTGCCACACTTCTCTTTGGCTACCGCGCTGGTTTTTAAAGATGGAATCCTCTATCTGTCGTTTGATATGGTGCTACCATACAGTTCTACCACTCCCGCCTCATCTGCATGTGCAAACCAGATTTGGAGGCTCTGTTGGTTAAATATGGAAAGGTACACAAGCTTGCGCATAGCATGGCCGCAAAACAGACAGCATCCCTCCACTTCACAAGGACTGACCAGAAAGAACAGCATAAAGCCACACGGAATTAACACTTCCGTCACAGGGATGCCAGCCTGCAGGTTGGACCTGGGGATCCCCCAGAATTACAGCTCATCTCCAGACTACAGAGATGTTCCTCTGGAGAAACTAGAGGCTCTGGAGGGTGGGATTTATGGCACTGTACCCCACTGGGGTTCCTCTCCTCCCCAGGCTCCACCCCCAAATCTCCAGGAGTTTCTCAACCTGGATCTGGCAACCCTACCCCACCCATCCCCCACCAGTGGCCAGGGGGGACCTGGCAACCCTATTCATGGAGTCCTATTCACCTAAGTACTTTCCTCGTCACAGTGCTACAACTGTAACAGTGGGTTCCAATTAAAGGAAACCCTACTGAGAACAGAACTCCATTGGAAAAAATAACACAAGTAAACAATCTGAAATATTAAACACTATTTACTTCTTTTAGCAACTATTGCTGCATATGAATAATTTATGAGGGCATTTCATAAGGTTTTTGTGAGCTCTTTATTGCATACTCCATAAAAACAACAAAATCTTACGAATTGGAAAAGCACTGCAAATTCTCTTCCCCCCTCCTTTCAATAGAGAGATGAGGTGGGTGGGAGGAATCAACCAATTGCTATTCAATTTAACCGTGAAATTTCAGTAGTAAATACTGATAAGCTAAATTGCTATGGCATGACCTGCATATAGTTTAAAGTTTCTGTCTACCCTAGCAAACAGAATCACAGCAGGGATTAGCTTTTCTAACGCTAACTTTCTCTAAGCAGTCTGCCCTCCCTTTTAAATTTAAGGCATAATACACAAATGAGGAATTAAAAACATATCAATTTATATATAATAGAGCCTTTCCACAAAACTAAAGACTGATATTAACAACAAAGTCAGTAAATAACACACAAATTAGTCATAAGTGCAAGTGTTCAGAATGTTTATTAATAAATTTTGGGTTTTATTTGAATTATGGTTTTATTACTGTTACTGTATTGTCATGTTGTTAGCCGCCCCAAGACCCATTCAGGGAGGGATGGGACAAAAACCTAATAAAATAAATAAATGAAACATTATTCATCTGGTAGCAATCCTTCAGCAACAACAAAAAAAAGGAAAAAAAGAAAGAAAATAACTATTAATGGCAAGATAAAACCCTGGACTTCCTTGGTGGTCTCCCATCCAAGTACAAACCAAGGCCAACCCTGCTTAGCTTCTGAGATCTGATGAGATCGAGCAAGGCATGTATATGTTAAGTAATGCTATCAACTAAACAGGATGGATAGGATTAACACTGTCACGTTTTTATTCTGTTTGGTGTAGTGGTTAAGTGCACGGACTCTAATCTGGGAGAACCGGGTTTGATTCCCCACTCCTCCACTTGCACCTGGCTGGATGACCTTGGACAAGCCGCAGTTCTGATAAGAGCTGTTCTTGAAAAAGAGCAGTTTCTGTCAAGAGAAAGGACTTTGTAAGCCGCTCTGAGACACCTTTGGGTAGTGAAGGGCAGGGTATAAATCCAATCTCTTCTCTTCTTCTTCATTCAATTATTTTTGGGTAGCCCACATGGCTATTGTCACCTTGCTTATTTAATATATATGCAGAGTACATCATGTGAAATGCTGGCCTGGATGAATCACAAGCGGGAATTAAGATTGCTGGGGAAAAGATCAACAACCTCAGATATGCAGACAATACCACTCTAATGGCAAAAAGTGAAGAGGACCTTAAGAGCCTCTTGTTCAGGGTAAAAGAGGAGAGCGCAAAAGTGGGCTTGAAGCTCAACATCAAAAAAACGAAGATCATGGCATCCGGCCCCATCACTACTTGGCAAATAGAAGGGGAAGTCGTGGAAGTAGTGACAGACTTCACGTTCCTGGGATCCCAGATCACCGCAGACTGTGACAGCAGCCATGAAATTAAAAGCCGCCTGCTCCTTGGGAGGAAAGCGATGGCAAACCTAAACAGCATGATAAAAAGTAGAGACATCCCCCTGCCAACAAAAGTCCGCATGTTCAAAGCAATGGTATTCCCAGTAGTCATGTATGGCTGCGAGAGTTGGACTATAAAGAAGGCCGAGCGCCGAAGAATAGATTCTTTTGAACTATGGTGCTGGAGAAGACTCTTGAGAGTCCCTTGGACTGCAAGAAGATCAAATCAGTCAATCCTAAAAGAAATCAACCCTGACTGTTCCCTGGAAGGCCAAATAATGAAACTGAAGCTCAAATACTTTGGCCACCAAATGAGAAGGGAGCACTCACTGGAGAAGACCCTCATGCTGGGAATACCGGAAGGCCTGGCGTGATCTGGTCCATGGGGTCGTGAAGAGTCGGACTCGACTGTGTGACTGAACAACAACAACAAAGCCCACATGGTTCCCCGTCCTCCATTTTATCTTCAGAACTACCCTGGGAGTTAGATTAGGATGAGTATGATATACTCAAGGACACTCCATTGAGTTACCCACTGAGATTGCCTGCCAGAGTGGAGATCTAAAACTGGGTCTAACCGGTTCTACTCCAACACTATCCACAGCCGCACACTGCCTCTTATTTATTTATTAATCGTATCAGTTGTCCTGGCTATTTCACAAAGTGAAATTTTAAACTGCAAATGCTACCACTGAAACTAACTAATCCCTCATTGGATTAATCCCTCACATAGCTGATAAGGTCAACAATGAACTACATACAGAGCAGAGAATGGAGGGCAGAGAAGACACTGAGAAAAGAAAAGTGGGTTTGTATTTTGGACACTATGTACGACACTGAAGAAAAAAATAAACTATAGTATTACTTTCTGTTTATTGCAGAATTCAAGTCTGACAAATTCTTACAAATGTTCATCTTGCAATCCTTTCAAGTTTGTAGAAGGTATTATTTGTTTCTTTAAAAAATGACAGGTTACAATGAGAGCAAATGGAGTTATGAGCAGAGAAACTGTTTTACATAATGTTGTTGTTGTTCAGTTGCACAGTCGAGTCCGACTCTTCGCGACCCCATGGACCAGATCCCGCCAGGCCTTCCTGTCTTCCTTTAGAACCCCCAATCACTCAGTAACACAAATACTTTGATGAAAGCACAGAGCTGTTCTGAACTGGTGAATATGTTACTTATTCAAGGAGGTTTCAGATTCTCAGGTTACACTAGCACTAATGAATACACTGTCGTGGAGAGCTAACTAATTATCTTTACAAACCAATTACCCTTCATTATCCACTTTTCTTTGGAGCATCTGGCATCAGCCTAAGGAACAGACACTTTAGGGCCATTAGGGTATGTGTTTATACAAGTGTGTTCAAACTGCAGATCAAAAGCCATGAGTATCACAAAGCCATTCAAGTGCCGCTTCCATAAAGTTCAAGAAAGGGACTTGTCCCAGCCTAGGAATGAAAGAGCTCAGGAGAGAAAATGGCACATTGGTATGTCTCCTTGGAAGTGACTAGAAGACCTGGATATGTACAGAACTCCCTTCTCTCCACTTCTGGCAGCAGGAAGTCCAGCTTTATTGTTCCAGAGGAGAGGAGTTTCCCCATCTCCTCTTCAGTCCGGAAACTTCCATAGGTCCCTTGGCCCATGACGTAATCTGAAAAATTTAGCAAACACAGCAACAGAATCCAACCCAGACTAAAAACTGGGTCAATCACTCAATCAGGGAACTTCCCTCTTTTTCTATAACATCTCTGTCCTTCTGCACCTCTATGTTTCATTTCCCTTTTTCAGGGGTGAGGTGGGCCCGGGCCTTCTAGTCACTTGCAAGGAGAATGGACCTTCACGGTAAGTACTAATGTGCCATTCTCCTTTGGAAGGACTAGAAGACCCCGATTTGTGGGGATGTAACAAAGCATACTGTCCCCACGGTGGGTAAAAAAGCCTCAACATCCTTAATCCTCTTGTACTATCTGCTGCAGGACTTGGTGGCCAAGGGCTGTATCCAAAGACATCCAGTTGACTACC